GAGAGAGAGAGAGAGAGAGAGAGAGAGAGAGAGAGAGAGAGAGAGAGAGAGAGATGACAGACTGACATGCTTCTCATGTCTTGTGCACAGTCCAGCGTGCCTGTGGGGGCTGAACCTGTCACACCTGGGATCAGCTATACACAGGGTAATCTCAGCATCAGGGTGCTCCATTATCGATCTTTGTGTTGTTTTAGATTGTTGTGTTAGTTTTCTGTGACGGAAGTAGGTTGAGACATTGACTGTGTGTTCTATGATAAAAATAGAAATAAAACAGCTTGGACAAAGACTAGGAAAATCAATGAGTGGGACACATTTCTCTGAACAAACAATGAGCCAACCTTAGCAATACCCATATCTCTCAGATGTTCTGGTGAGAATAGCGTATCTGGCAGATTCACCAAATTCGAATCTGAGAGGAATGGAGGAGAAATGGAGACCCTGATAACTACCCAGAATGGATGTGACAGCAAAAGGGATTCAAGGAAGGAAAGAGGAGGTACTGTTGCATCTTAATTTCTTCAGACTGCAGTGAAGCGGAGCGGTACAGCACCGCAAAAGTTGGTAGGTGTTGATCAACAGGTGCGAGAAAAGGTAAATCCTTCCGAACAGGGAAGCAATCAATGCGCCAGTCTCAAGCTCTCTCGGCCGTAACAGAGAGAACGGGCGCGGAACCCGGTTTTCAGCTTAAGGTGTACGGCCTCGTTAAACCACTAGAACCACTGCCAGTGTTGGGAAATTACGATGTTTTCAATTTTTTTGCCAGTTCCCGAAGAAATCGGGGGTGGGACACAGGGTCGGCAATGTCCCATAAATCTGAATTTTATAGTGTCGTGAGCGAAAGGAAAAAAGGGAAAAAAAAAAGCTTTCTCTACTGCAATGATGTTGGGCTGGGTAGTCCAGGAGGCCGTGCTCACAATCTTCCTCTGCAGAATGCACCTTACAGGTAAGGCGGTCACATTCTGAATGTTACTGTGTTCTTTTTTTTCTTGGTCGTGTGTTTCTTATTAGTCCCCTGTCCATGAATTGCTTAAGCTGTCCGTGATCTGCTCGAGCTTTGTTTTGTCAGAGGATTGTAACTTGTAAGGCTCATCACACTGGCACTTAGGGGAATGTATCCGGCGATTTTCACGGCCGGATCCATGTGCCTGTTTTTTCCCCTTTCTATTCTCTTTTTGGAATCTGACAACCTGGCCACGGGGCTGAGATGCCCTCATTGAGGGCACGCTCACACTACCACTTCCAAGAATATATACAACTGCAATCACGGCCATAGCTTTGTTTCCTTTTTTTTTTGGTCTTCTTTTCTGAGGTTCATGGCCGCACCTTTTCTTCTTCTTCCTTTTTTTTTTTTGTTCTTCCGTGAGAGTACCAGAAAGAGAACGGAGTGGTACCCAGGCTCGGCAAACTCGGAGGGCAGTGAAATTCAGGGTCGGCAAAAACAGGCTCGGAGGTACTAGTGGTTTAAGCAAAAAAAACCCGACTGTTCATCACTTGCTGGAGTGCATCAGATCACATGTATACACCTGTCTCTTATACACATCTAGATGTGTATAAGAGACAGCCCCTCGGGTTGGCTGAAATGGGTGTCTGCTAAGTGTCTGAGTGGTGGAGGCAGGGAATGAACGGGGCCGGAGAAATAAATGTGTAAAAATTTTCTTGTTGTATGAAAGGAAGATTGGGAACCCTTGAATTGGATGCTGATCAGATGGTTGATGCTTCTCTTGCAGCTGCTGTCACAGCGAGAGAGGGTGCTGGAACTATTAGTTTTAAGAGCGCGGAAGATGGATGCAAATGCACAGGCAGCCACCACAGAACGCCGCAATATACTTCGGTGCCTGCTCAGCTGGGTATGTCAGATATCCCTCACATTGTAAGCTCCTGATTTCCAGTACGTACGTTGCTAAGACCACGACGGCTACATGCATCAGGTCTCATGGATGCAGTACTTCTTCACATCGGTTAGCTCACAACGATATCTGAAGGGATGAGAAGATCCGCTTCAGTATCTCTGAAAGTGCTGGCGGCGTTGCCTCTCTGCGAGATGTTCACTGCTCACAAAGAGAATGTATGGGCCAGAAATTCTGCAAAGTGGGTAGTTTGCTTTCTGCGCTTGATTTGACAAAAACAAAACGGAGGGATCACAAACACGGAACCGACCGGACTAGCTCAGTACGTAGACCCGTGATCTGTTGGAATGCAGACCTGAGTTCGAATCCAGCAAGGAACGACATGAATGGAATCAAATAATTAACAAAAAGAACAGAAAAGGAAGAAGATGGCAACACACAGGGTAGCTCTGCTCAATGCTTATCAACACCCCCTTTACACATGCAATCAGCGCATATTCCTGTTGAACACTCACGTCGTGAACTAACAATTATAATTGTCAGTTCCAACGCATGGTTGATCACAAAATAATTCGCTAGTATTCAGTGAAAGCATGATTAACGACCATGGTTACACGTGGCAAAAGTTTTTTGTCTTGTCCTGAGCCAGTCAGTGAGGCAGAGGCCCAACCCTATACTTGGCTCTGTCTGTGGTGCATGAGGCCTTTTTTTTGTCAGTAGAGGCCGAAATGGCTTCAGCCGCGGCCATTTTCGATTTCTGAGCTATGCACATGGTTGTTTTTAAGCCACCACTTCATCCGTACCTATTTTGACAAACCTAAAGTTGCATTTCCCTGAGCCTAAAATCGAGTGCCACTGTGAGGAATAATAATTGTGGTACCCTTCCCCAGCGAACCTCTGCTGGGACTGGGCAGTGTAGATTTTAGCCTGGTACTTGGAGTGGTGGTTTAATTTCAAGGCCGGTGCTGGCTCAGCCAGAATGGCGGCATGTCTGGCCATTCTCGACTTCCAAGCTGGTGCCATCGCAGGCCCTAGGAAATTCGGAATGATTGTGGCGATGTAGAATTCCTGGGTTGGTACCAGTTGAAATCGTGTGGGCGTTTTCACATGTCAGCCATGTACCACCTCAGGCCCTTGTAAAACCTGACCACATGTGCAGCCATTTTCATTCCGTGTCAGGCCAGTCCTGCAGAAAACGGCTGCCTGTGCAGCCAGATGGCCCACTTGTCTGCTGTCATTTTCTTTTAGGCGCTGGCTTGAATAGAAGCTGATCCTTTCTATCCTTACAGGTGTTTGAGTATGTGTCTTGATCTGCATACGATCTGTACATGTATTACTCTCTCTCTCTCTCTCTCTCTCTCTCTCTCTCTCTCTCTCTCTCTCTCTCTCTCTCTCTCTCTCTCTCTCTCTCTCTCTCTCTCTCTCT